GGAAATGAAATAAATATAAATAAAAAATAATAAAATAAATTTTTTTTTTAACTTTTCGATAAATTATCCAAGCATCTTGACTCCCTTGGAATATTTTCCACCCAAAAACTAGACCGGAATTAAAATAAATATAAATAATAAAATAAAATAAATAATAAAATAAATGTTTTTAAATAAGTTTTCCCTACGACAAGCATCGAAAAATTAAAAAGAAATAAAATTTATTTTATTATTTCATTATTTATATTTATTTTATTTCTGGTCTAGTTTTTGGGTGGAAAGTGATCCAAAGAGAGTCTAGATGCTTGAATAATTTTCTCTATGCTGTAGCTATTGTGCACCTTGTGTGGATCTCTTGTGAGATGTAAAACTTCCCCAAAGATTAGCCTTGAAATATAATACCGGAAATAAAATAAATATAAATAATAAAATAATAAAATAAATTTTATTTTTTATTTATTTTATTATTTTATTATTTATATTTATTTTATTTCTGGTCTAGTTTGTGGGTGGAAAGTGATCCAAAGGGAGTCAAGATGCTTGGATAATTTATCGAAAAAGTAAAAAAAATTAAAATTTATTATTTTATTATTTATATTTATTTTATTTCCGGTATAATTTTTGGGTGGAAAGTGATCCAAAGGGAATCAAGATGCTTGGATAAGTTTCTCTATGCTGTAGTTATTACGCACCTTGTATGGGTCCCCTTGTCAGGGATGCCAATTAATAACACCAATTTGAGCTTAATTGATACAGAAGCAGATTTTACGTGCTTATTCTGCTATGCCTTTTTTAGAAATTTAATTTTTTGATAATTCTAATACTTTTATATGTATAATAACTAGAAGACTCATATAAATATGTTTATATATGTACAAGGTGACCCACGTAAAGTGTTATAAGCTAATAACTAAGAATATTTGTCGTATCAAAAAGTTGTTCACGAGGAAGTTTCATGTATTAGAAGGGCTCTTCTAACTATGTAAACAAAAGTCCTTCACCCCCCCCCCTTTTCCTCGAAGGGATGGAGGGTAACTTCAAAATTTGAAATAAAATCCCCTATAAAATGTTACATATTTGGATTCTACGAAAAAAATAAAAAACTTTATTTGAAACATTTCTTTAGAAAATGCTTCCATCAAAAGTTATAAGTATTTAAACTTTAAAGTAAAGTACATTTAAATTAATGATAAAAGGCATTTAAATTAAATGATAAATAAATTAAATAAAAGATTTCGAAATTTTTCTGTTCTTTTTTATTTTATTAAATGTTCAAACTGTTATCCATTTATATTTAAACATTTATTAATTCTTTCTATAAAATTTTGTCTTCAAACAACATTTCTGGGATCACAGGATGGCCCACATAGTGTTACAAACTAATATAACTCTAAAAATATTTGCCGTTTCAAAAAGTTTTATGTATTAAAGAGCCTTTCTATAACTACGTAAATAAAAATCCTCTTGAAGAGGGAGGGGGAGGGGGAATTTTAAAATTTCAAATGAAATCTTCTATAAAATGTTACATATTTGGATTTTACGAGAAAAAATAAGTAAATTTTATCTGCAACATTTCTTTGGAAAATGCTTCTATTAAAAGTTGTAAGCAAACTTTAAAATAGAGTGCATTTAAATTAATGATAAAAGCATAAATTAAATCAAAGATTTCAAAATTTTCCTGTTTTTTTTACTTTATTTAATGTTTGAACTGTTGTCCATTTATATTTGAACATTTATTAATTCTTTCTATAAAATTTTATTTTACTCTAAAAAACATTTCTGACGCAAGCTTCATATATTCTTCGTTTTAAGTCTTGTCATCATAGGTGCTTGAAATATGACTTTTTCCTTGATATAGACGAAACAAGTTTTAAAACGAAGAATATGTGAAGCTTGCGTCAAAAATGTTTTTTAGTATAAAACAAAATTTTATAGAAAGAATTAATAAATGTTTAAATATAAATGGACAACAGTTCGAATATTAAATAAAGTAAAAAAAAAACAGAAAAATTTTGAAATCTTTGATTTAATTTATGCTTTTATTATTAATTTAAATGCACTCTATTTTAAAATTTAAATGCTTATAACTTTTAATAGAAGCATTTTCGAAAGAAATGTTTCAGATAAAGTTTACTTATTTTTTCTCGTAAAATCCAAATATGTAACATTTTATAGAAGATTTCATTTGAAATTTTAAAATTCCCCCTTCCCCCTCCTTCTTTAAGGGGGAAGGTAGACTTTTATTTACGTAGTCAGAAAGGCCTCTTTAATACATAAAATTTTTTGATACGGCAAATATTTTTAGAGTTATTAGCTTGTAACACTACATGGGCCATCCTGTATATATAGGTTGTCCCATTTTGATAGTGAAATATTTGGAAATCGCGAGGTTTGAGAGAAAAATGTTTCAGACAAAAGTTGTAGGGTTTCGAGGGTTTTTCTCTCAAACCTCGCGATTTCAAAATATTTGACTGTCAAGTATAAAATGAGACAACTCTGTATATGTTATAAAATAAATGTATATATAATGTACAACTTATTTATTATTACAACAATTTAATAAATCACTTAAAATAAATATATATAATGTATACTGACTACAGAGTGGTCCACTTAAATCGAACACCTTGAATATTTCACTTATTTTTGATGATACGAAAAAATTTTTCAGATGAAAGTTAAACAGCTTCAAAGAAAGCATATTTTGGTCACGTCGTTTTTTTCTAGATGGAAGTTCCAAAAAGATATGAAGGTCACTTTCACTTTTTTAAATGCAATTGTATGACTTTTTTTAAATATATTTCCTCTAATTATTCTGCATTTAAAAGTGTTAAGGTAGAATTATCGAAAAATAAATAGTTTACGAGATATTTTATACTTTATCATGTTTCGACATAAAACGTGAAATATCTCATAAATTATTTATTTCATAATAATAATATTTTAATAATATTACTTTTAGGCATATAATAATGAGATGAATCAATTGGTGTAAAGAAAACACACAATTGCTTTAAAAATATATATATATACAATAATTTGTAATATGCAACTACATATTTTTTTTTAAATAACTGTTTTCTTTACACGAATCGATTCACCTCATTATTCTGTGTCTAAATATACGCATACTGTGTCTAAAAATATTAAAGTACCATTATCAAGAGCATACAATAGTTTAATAGAGATATTTTATGTTTTATGCCGAAAATTGGATAATAAAGTATAAAATATCTCGTAAACTATTTATTTTTTATAACTTTGTAATACTTTTAAATGCAGAATAATTAGAAGAATCATGTTATGTAAAAAAAAATCATAATTCCCTTTAAAAAAGTAGAAGTGACCTTTATATCTTTTTGGCACCTCCATCTAGAAAAAAAACAACGTGACCAAAATTCTCTTTCAAAGCTGTTAAACTTTCATCTGAAACATTTTATCGTGTCAAAAAATGAAATAAGTGAACAAAAAAAAGTAAGTTATTCAAGGTGTTTGATTTAAGTGGATCACCATGCATATTATAATTACAATTTATATTATATTATAATTTTTAGATAAACCTATTCGCGGGCGGGCGCGCAGCAGTAATACATGGACCATAATACAAAGGATCTATCATCAGAATGGATTGAAAGGTTTATTCACAGGATTAACGCCACGTTTAGTGAAGGTAGCTCCAGCTTGTGCAATTATGATCGCGACTTTCGAACATGGCAAGCGTTTCTTTCAAATGTATAATGCTAGGAGAGCTATTGAATTTGAGATTGAACGTGATGTACATTTATTGCAACACAAACCTAATCGTACAGAATAATATGCCTACTATTGATAAACGTACAAAATATAATAAAGTTACATATTAAGATTCTTGATCATTTATTGAATTGCGACGTCAAAAACAAGAAAAAATATATAAAGAAAATTTTTGCAAAGTAGATTAAAATTTGTCAATAAAATAATTTTTCTGTTTGATAAAACACACTTGTAAAATGTCAAAAATTGTTTTATTTCGAAATAAAATAATATTTATTTTAATACTTAATTTTTATTTTTATTTTTTTATTTTAATACTAATAATTGTTATATATGTAATTTATTTGTTTTTCAGTCAGGCAGTTAAATTCCAAATTCATATATGGTTGTTTATTGATTATTGAAATACTGTTTTTATTAGTATATTTATTAGTAATTTTACAAATCTATTCTCTATCAATTACAAATAGTGTTTTATTGAAAAATATTTATATTGTAATGTTTTGCACGAATTTCTTAATTTATATATTTTTTCAATTCTGATACAATCCAAGATGACGTAGTGAATAGACAGGAGCTCTTTAAACTTTAATATAAAAATGAAGATTTCTTTCCATATTTATCACTTATTGTGTAAATATTGCTACATATTGCCTCAGTGTCGATAAGACGACCGCGCGGAGAGTAGGAAAGTCCAAGTTCAAATTTTGGCTGAGGTAATATTTTTCGCAATAAGTTCTACAGGATTTAACAAAATATTATAGTTAATGGCATTAAAATTATTAAATTGTTTGTTAATTTAATTTGTGATATTACATAGTCCGGTTTCAGTTTGGAGCTGTGTTTCAAAATCGGCAAATATACGGCACGCAATTTACCTGAAACCTGAAGTGCAAATTGTAAAAATTCGCACAATTATTATTAAGTACCAAGATCTGCTTCAGACTGCATATGGCATTTCTAAACATTTATCTAGGTTTTTTGTAGTCTCTATTGAGGGAGGAGCCTGGTTTAGCACACTAAAAATTAGGTGATTTTTTGGAATTTTTTTTAGGAAAGTATACAATCCATCCTTTTGAGCTTTATAGAGTAATTTCTTATACTATTGAACTAATAAAAAAAATATTTTTTTGCCCGAAAAAAAAGTATTTATTATGTAAGTAATAATACCATTTATTTGACGCATCGGCGGTGATGATGTTTGCGGCGAGAAATGTAACGTCGCTGGTATTTGTCTGAAACAAAAAATCTAAAAAGATTACAACAATCAAAGGCAAATGAGCCAAAAGCAAGTTACTAGTAGCCAAAAACAATTCTATTTCAAATCGGATCCAAACGTTTCGGCTTATATTAACCCTTTGAAGCATACATTTTTCCTTACCTATGATTGACTTGAAAATTGGTACTCGAGCGTTTTCGAGGTTGCTGATTACGAATCTGAGGTCAAAATTTAGAAATTCAATATGGCGGACCCAAATTCGAAAAACAATGCAAATTTTATAAAAATGTATATTTGGGGGTTCTTGGAGTCGCTGATTATGAATCAATGATCAGATTCCCGAAATTCAAGATGGGAGCGGATCCAATATGGCAGACTTAATTTGAAAAACGATATAAATATCAGGAAAATGTATTTCTGGGGGTTCTTGAGGTCGCTGCAGATTCATGGACATAGGAATATAACGGGACAAAGTCGTAACTTAGACTAGAGTCCTAGATTATCAGAGAAGCGCGACCGGTGTTACGAGTCCTGACACGCAAATGGCCAATCATAAGATTGATTTCTGTCTCTTATACACATCTCTGAGCGGGCTGGCAAGGCA